ACTAACGACCAGTTCCCATAGCGATCCGTGAATCCAGTGTCCTAACCACCCTATAACATAGACTGGGGATACCTTAGCCCCATACCAACCCGTGATGGCAGGCCTGGTGCTGAAACCCACCTACGATCGAAGGACTTGTCGCACACGTTGCACTTGTACTGCAGGGGGGCCACGCCGTGGCGCTCGACCAGGTGCTTCTGCCGCCTGAAGTACTCGGAGAAGCGCTCGGGCCACCACTTTGGGCACTTGAAAGCGCTTTTGCAGCAGCCTGTGCACCGTGTCCACGTGGCCCCCATTCAGCTTCTGATGCGTGCCGTACACCCTGCCGCACAGCTCGCACGGGAAGCTGCCGCCGAGGTGCATCGACTTAGTGTGCACCTTCAGGCTGGTACCTGGTGACGAAAACCGGCGCCGCACTTCGTGCACACGTGTAGTTCCTGTAGTGGACGTTCATGTGGCGCTCTATGGAGCGCACCCTGGCCAGGTGGGCCTTCAGCTCGGCCAGGCGTGGACCGTCTCGCCGCAGAGGGTGCAGCTGAGGTCCGTCACGTCCACGTACACCACGAGGCTCTCTGCGCCGTACGCGCTCAGAGCCCTCTTGATTTCGATTCTCCTGTGCTGCTGCGACTGGTGCTTTGCTTCAGACCGTCCAGGTCCTCGAAGAAAACGCGGCAGTAGAAAGCACGGGAAGCCGGACCGGTTCCTGCTCTTGAACGGTGTCGCATTCGAGTTCTCCAGGAGGGTGGAGGCGTTGAGTATATGGGCCATCTTCTCTGTTATGTAGACCCTTCTGCGCCTCAAAGATGCCTGCTCCCTCTCGGCATCCTCTAAAAGCTTCTGTATCATTCTCGGCAAGATTATTTTGCCTGCAAGAAGAGCAGTAATATATGTATATGTATGTTTATAATTATTTACTTAGATGTACCAACAAAGAACACCATAGCAAGTTGAAAGGAAGGAAATGTGTCATACAAGTGGATGACATTAAAGGCCCATTTACACGATGCCATTTTCTTGTACATACAAGAGCAATAATTGAATGCAATAAATTGCGCGCAATAATTGTTAAGACCATTTGTTGTTTAGACCATGCAACTCATTTATTGCCTCAATTTAATTGTATACAACAGGCAAGAAACTGGCACCGTGTAAATGGGCCTTTAAGGTCGTAGGTCGGCGGCTTGTTAGGGGCCATATGTATGCTATCAGGCAAGGGGTTTCAAAGTAGTGCAGTCTTAACAATGAAAGAGTTACCAATAAACTAAGTGAATTACATGTCTCCATTGAAAGTGTGGATAAGATATTTGACATTCTCCCAAGCTTCTTGGTCACAACAAGGTGATTTGTTAGCTTCTTATTCTACAAGCTTGGGTCACTGATAGGCTTGATTCATCTATTGATCAGCCGCTCTTTGCAGGCATTTAGTTATTCAAGGATGAAAATAAAGGGATACCTTTCAGGAGCTCAAGGTGGCGGAAGTAGTCTGGACAGGAGCGGTAGAGGGATTCCCTTGTTGGCACTTTGAGGGTGCCCCTTGGAAACTTCGCCAGCAGGGCGGCCTCACCGTCCACGGGTGCGTCGTCAGAGGTCGGATCACCCTTAGATGAGATGTCTGAAAGGCAAATGATAGCATAACACCTATTCAGTTCATATTGGAAGAACTAGTTTGTAAACATAGTAAATACATAAGCACAATTTATCGTACTCTCTGTATTTCGATTCTATTAAAAATTAAATGTGAGGTCTAAATAATAATAATGATCTATTAAAGAAATCGCCTAAATGGATTTACCTTGAGGATGATGAAAATTGCCTGAAAAGTGTTGTGGGGAAACAAAACTAATAAAAAATGAGGAAAATTAATCTTTCTGCACCACAATCTTCCACAATTCAATTTTAATTACAATAATCCTAGTGTATAGACATTTATTTTACCTTTTTTTGTTTAATTTTTATACCACGGTAGGTAAAAAAAAAACATCATTATATAAAAAAAATGGATAAAAGTACCACAATAGGCCAAATAGTGCAAGTCTAATAATAATTGGTTTTATTTGCATTAATCTTACCACAAAATTCTTCACCATCTGGAATATAGTCGGAGTCATAAACAATGTCTTCATACAGATCTCCTTCTTGAACTTCTTGCTTCACCTCAACCTGATCCTCGGTCTTGATGTTATCAGCAATGTCTAAGTCATGATCTCCCACTGGAACTAATAAGATACAATAGTCACTGGCGCATTATGTCTATTACAGAAAACATTGCCCTTGGATGTGGCTTTGAGACCTATAGATATTACCATTAACAAAAATGGTTTCCTTATCACTGACCGCTTTCAGTAACTGCTGCTCTGAGCTAGCCACCATTAAACGGAAGCTGCTTGCGTCTCTTAGTTTTGAAACACAGGATGAGCACACCAGAGAGCTGAGAGCATTGTTGGGTGTTAACTGAAACATATGTACAACAAAAGATGAGTTATCATTGAGAGTGGAGTGCTTTGCTTTGTTATTAGTTATTATAAAATGTAATGCAAAGATGCGTTTTAGCATACTTATGAGATAAGACAGTGTAATGACCGGGTACTTTTATTGTTTTTAAATATAATTTATATAGTAGATTTTAATACTCGGTTCTAGCTAATTAATTTAGTTCTAAATCGGTGATGGACTGAATTAATTAGTCTTCAAGGCCTTAAGGTAAACCCACTGTGAATTGTACATATCCACAAATTATTAATACAATATTTTTTTATTTGCAATGAGTGAATACAGAATTGTTTTTTTTAATATGTTAGTTTTATGTTAATAGGAGTATTATTAACATACATATATATACTAAAAATTAATGTGCTAACAATAAAACAATAAATGTTGAATGCACAAGCACATTGTTTATTACATGATAGTTCGGCATTATATACAAAATTGTTAATTAAATAGTAACTTACAAAAATATTGAAGCATTCCAAAATCATGTCTAAGTAAACCTCTTTACAACCATTCCAATAATATTCTTTGAAAATGTCTTTATGTTGACCTTTTTGTGAACAAAAACGACATGCTCCATAACTTTTATTTGCCTCTTTGGACTCCATTTTATAGTCTTAAATTGAGAACCGAAAAACAAAAGGGAACATAATATTTTATTACCCTTTCCAAAATAAAGATAATGTCACTAATCAGTTATCATTAATTTACATACAATGTTTACAAATAATACATTTGTTTTTTCTTTTTATGAAGTTATTATGCGGCAACAGTTTAAAACTTACAGCCAATACAAGTTACACAAGATAATTTGTGATAATAAACATAAATAATTAAACACAATATTTTTATAAGATGAAATTAATTGATTTTTCGTGGATATCTTTTGTTTATTTACTTTTGACTTCGAATTTCAATGACTATAAAATATTGTACGTGTTAGAAAATTTTGACTCAAATAAGATGTGCTGTTCTATTAAGCCCATTCGCTCAGTCACATTACATTACAGTTACACATACCATTCATACAGTTATTATAAAAAAAACATAAATATCTTTTTAATAAAAGATAGTGTATAACAGCTCTAATGATATAGCCCTTTCATTTGTCTAATATCTTTTGTATCAATCAAATTAATGTAAGTACGAGTTACATTTGAGTGAGTTTTTTTACAGTTACATTATTATTATAGTAGTATACCCGATAGCTTCATTTACAGTGTTTTAAGGCAGATTGGAAATGCTGTCCAATAATATAATTTGGGGAAAATGTGTCTTCGCATTTTATATGAAAATTCAAAACATTTTTTAATAAAGTTTATTTACATTTAACTAAAGTATGTAGGTGCCATTTTGTTCGATAACTTCTGCCATCTTGTAGGTAGGGACATGATTCCATTGCTATAGAAATTCTGGGGCTTCTGATCAAAAAACCGCGACAAGTAGTTTTGGCAGTCCTCTCGTGATGTTAACCTGACACTGCCTAAAGAATTTTGAAGAGACTGAAACAAGTAGAAATCTGAATGTGCAAGGTCAGGACTATACGGCGGATGCATTAACACCTCCCAGTCAACCTCTTAATTTTTGCTAACTGGCTAAATATGTGTGAGGTCTACAGTTATCATGATGAAAAACCTTCTCAACTTCTTGCTTTAATCTCATCAGTCATTTGCAGTAGAGTTCAGAATCAATGGTCCTGCCTGGCTGTAACAGCTCATAATGAATAATGCCCTTCCCATCTCACCATACACACAGCATTACCTTGTTGCGAGATAACCCGGATTTTGCCAGAGTCTGTGTAGCCTGACCACGACCTTTGCACGTTCTTGTCGACGGCCATCGGGGTTTCGGTCCGAACCGTCACCTCGATGGCCCTTAGATGACACACCATAGTTAAACGCACGCATGAGCACATGCGTGCGTTCTGGGTAGCTCACCGGTTCTGCGTCAGATGAAGCTTTAAGTCTCGGGACTGTAAGCAAAAACATCAGTTGATAATACGTTCTTGTCGTACGTGATCCACTTTTCATCACCAGCTATCATGTTTTTCAAAAATGAGTACACGGTGTCTTTCAGTGAGCTCATGAGGCACCCAAATATCGAGCTTTTTTGTGGACCCAGCTTTTTTCAAATGCGCCAAAACTGTTTTGTTGTCAATTTTCCCAGTTCTTCAGCTGCATTGAAACTACTAATAAGCCGATCTTGCTCCACTTTTTCAAAAATGGCATCCATTTTTTTCGTAACAGGGCGCCCAGACCGAGGTGCATCTTTGACATCAAAATTTCCGGATTGAAAACGCTTAAACCAAATTGGTTCTACTCTCACAGACACTGTACTAGGTCCATAAATATCACAAATTTTTTTCGCAGCTTGCGTTGGATTTTTACCTTTTTTAGTAGTAAAATTTTAAAATGTATCGAATTTCTTCATTAGAATGACTCATCTTAACAGTAAGAAAAACAAATGAAAATCACACATTTTCCTAATTTGAGTTTGAAATTATCTT